GGGGGGGGGGGGGAGGAAAGAGAAAGATGGAGAGACGAAAAAGAAGTCTACTAGGGAAAGAGAAAGGAGAGAGGGAGAGAGAGAGGGAGCGAACAGAGCAAGCGGAAAGAAGCCGATAGAGCTTGCGCCGTCACTGTGGAGCTTAGGAGTCAAGTTCTAGTGCACGGCCGAAACGGGAGAGTCGACCACCTCCTTTCCCGCGACTCAACGACTCCCCTTCCATCCCTTCCTCCATCAGAGGCCCAGAGGGAGGGAAGCGCCGCTTTGAAGTGGTAGGGAAAAGAGTGAGAGAAGGGAGAAACGTGAGGGATAGACGCGAGAGGACGAGTAGGAGGGCTTGCACGGCGCGTTTTGCAATGTTGAGCGTGCGCGCGAATCCTCCTCTTGCATGGGGATTCTACCAGGTGTGACCGAAATTTGCGGCGGCGGAGCGAGCGTGCGGATAATAGGGAATTCGATAAAGAGGTGCGCGGACGCGCAAGCGTGTGTACTTGTGAATACGAGGAGCACGCTTGCGTGTGAGGATGATTTGATCGGAGAAAACTTTTTTCCTAAAGAGAGGGGGAGAGAGAGAGAGAGAGAGAATCATTATTAATGTGTTTTAGAATGTCGATTTTTAAACGTATCCCGTATTCCTAGATCGTGATTGCGTAATGTGATTGAGGAGCGCAAAATAATCTTTCAAACGCAGGCAATTATAGTCGCAAAGTAAGCTGGATTGGTCGATTAAAACATCAACTTGGGCGATATTATTTGGGCGATCCAAGTAACGTTTAGAGCGTTGTTGCGATTATTTAAACGAATGAAAATAGCTAAGGAGGTATCCCGTAATAAGAGTCCCGGTCGATACTGGTAAACATATTGCGAATAATACGGTAAATTCGTTTACCCTTAATTAACGGATCTCATTCCGAGAGAACTATCCAACTCACTTAATAATAAAACGTACGAATCCTCATAAATGCGAGCGATAATATTTAGACATGCAGTAGTTGATTAGAGCGAGCAAGTGACAAACACAGACACACATATGGATACCATATTTATATCACGCCAGATGGACGTGAAAATTGCGATTGCGAAAAATTTCAAGATCATTATCTTGAAAATGGTTGTGAAATACTGAAATATTGCGCTATCTTTGGATGCGGAATGCGGGTTTACACTTGTAAGAAGATATTATTCGAGAAATAGATATTACGTATTTCATGTGGGCACAATGTATAATTTTAAATACTCGCAACATTTTCTCACTTTGATCATGATGGACAAAAATAAAAAGTTTATC